CTCACTGATATCCAATGTTCCAAATAACTCTAAAATGCTTCTCAACTCGTCCATATTGCTTCTCAAACACCAGTGCCAGGCTCAAATTCCCTGATTTTGACTCCAAAAATACCAAAACTCGAACCAACGGCCGGTAAATATGACTTGAGCTTAAAATTGAGACTTATGACACCTTAAAGTTAGGAAAACGCTATCAAAAGCCGATCTCAACACGCATCAACATCCAACAGAGACCGCTAATCGGCTAATGTATATATACCTCACTGCCCGCCGTCGACATGGGTCCTTGATTAGTGAATCAACTAAGACTCTTCAGCTCTTCTCTCTGAGTCTCGTTCTTGAAGTCTCTTATTACTTTTACAAGTACAAGTTTGCCTTGTGTTTTGAATAAGTTTTCATTTTAAAATTTATCCTTTTGAATATTTTAAACATTATATCGTGGACTTTGAATATGCTTTTTTCATAAGGCAATTTTTATTCAATTTATCTGATTTTAATAGTGATTTGTACATAGTAAATATTTTTCGTCTGGGCCTCCAAAATGCTCAAGCCGCCTCTGCCCCGCTTCAGTTCATAACGGGTTTCTCTTTCCATCCGTCACATTATAACGACCTCATCCCAACGGCTCCATATTTACAACGGTAACATTTATTTCAGATTCTCAATTCTTTCTCCTTCCCTCTTCCACATTTATTTCAGATTCTCAATTCTTTCTCCTTCACTCTTCCACACTTATTGCTGATTCTCTGTTGTTGTCTTCAAATCAACTAGCCTCTGCATCATCGACTCGGTACAAAAGGTTGGTCAAGCGCAATTTGGATTCTCCTCATCAATCATCCTACAAGACGAGGTTAGCTACATATACCAAACGCTTGATCCTGCTACATCTGCATCATCAACTCAGTACAAAAGCTTGGTAAAGCGCACTTTGGATTCTCATCATCCTTCATCCTGTAAGACAAGATTAGCTACATCTAATAAACTCTTGATAAAGCTACATTTGCATCCTGTTCAGATTCTCTAGCTTTTCTAGTGCGTAGAACTAAAACCCGTGCCATATTGTACCATGTGTCAATTTAATTCTTGAATTTAACATTCATATGGTCGAATAACAATTATATAGTGATCGACCATGCTATCGAGAACTTTGGTTTTTCATAACCTTTAATATTTAGTGATCGACGATAATATGGTCGTCTACTTGTAGAATATATTTCTATATGGTTTTCATTTGGTCGACGACATGTTCGACCATCATGTGGTTGAGTAACATTTATATAATGATCGACCATGTTAATCGACAGTTCATTTTTAAAATTTTAGTGATCGATTCGAAGATAATATGGTCGGTTACTTGTTCATAACCATATAGTGATCGACTATATGGTTTTCATTTTGTCGACCATCATATAGTCGAAAAGTTGTAAAAACTGTAACCAATAAGTTGTCAATATTAATAATATAATGTAAAACAAAATAAGAACATGGTTGACAAACATTTCGTATAACATATGAAAATATGTGGTTTTAATTTTGTCGACCACATGTTCGACCATCATTTAGTCGAAAGTTGTTAAAACTGTAACCAATAGGTTGTCAATAATAATAATAATATAATGTAAAACAAAATAAGAACATGGTTGAGCAACATTTCGTCGAACATTTGAAAATCTGTGGCCTATATTAGTTGAATATTCTAGTGTAATGTCTGTCAACCAATAATATTCAACTTTGGTGGATTCATTGGTATATGTTCATTACAATGGGAAATGGGAGAAGAACGATTTAGGAGAGTACAATTATGATGGTGACACTAAGATTGGTGCTTTCGTTTGGGATTCTAGTAAAGTGGATTTTGAACGGTTTATGAAGTGCGTGTATGAAGAGACAGGTTATGATCCCATGTCTCATAAACTGAAGATCTCATTTCAACTCCCATGCTTTGGTAAAGTTGTTCCTTATACTATAGATAAGGATAAAGCACTTTCTGTATTTTTGAGAGACAAAGAAATGGATTCGAATTTAATTAATGTTGAGGTTGTTGAGGTTGTTGAGGTTATTAAAGTACCATCTGTAACTCAAGAGATTGAAGAGGTAGAACGTGATGTACCATATGCTATGACAAACTGTTTAGAGCATGGGGAGGAGGACAGTTATAGGAATGACGAAGTTTTCTTTGAGGATTCATTTTTCCAATGCAGTATTGTTGTGGAAGGAGATCCTAATAATCCTGTTGTGTCCACACCCAAAAAAACAGACAGACATGTAACTGATCTTGAAGTATCTGATCTCGATCTTACTCCTACCAAAGTAACTGATCTTGGCGACCAAGTATTGGTTAAAGAGGCAAATGAGGTTGACCAAGATGCTAAGAAGGACGACCACTATGTAGTCGATCCTGACACAGATGTGGTCGAAAATTTGGAAAATGTTGATGGTAGTTTTGAAGATGGTTCAGATTTCGCAATTGGGTTTGTGTTCAAGAATAAAAAAGACATGAAGGCAAAGTTACGGGAGGTTGCCATCAAAGCGAATTTTGAAACAACAACTTTGAAGAGTGATGCCTTAAATGTAGTTGGATGATGAGAGCAACTGCGGTAAGGAATTCTCCAAGATTTAAAATCATAAAATACAACAAGAAGCACAACTGCTCAGTTGAAGACGCTAATCGTACAAATAGTCGGACCACTTCAAGATATGTTGGAGAAATGATTTTAGCTACTCTTGGTGGTGGTTCTGAGGAAATGATTAGATCGAAGACTATAATGACCCTCATGCAAAATAAGAGTATGCCAATTACTTATACAAAGGCTTGGTTGGGCAGAAAGTTTGCAAATGAAACCTTGTATGGTTCTCCCAATAATAGTTATAAACAACTACCATTATATTTGCATATCCTGAAAGAGGCTAACAAGGGAAAGCTTACAACACACCTTGAAGTTCACAATGGATTTTTCAAGTACGTGTTTATAGCATTTGATGCTTGTATCTCTATTGACGGGACATTCTTAAAAACTTCCTACCAAGGTGTTTTACTCATAGCTACAGTTGAAGATGGCGACTTTCATCAGTATCCTTTAGCTTGGGCTGTTGTGGACAGTGAAAACAACGACTCTTATGGTTGGTTTTTTGGACATTTGAGAAAGCTTATTGATGATTCGTCAGAGCTTGTATTCATTTCCGATAGGCATGCAAGCATA